GATGTTTCTAGGTTTTATGTTCTTGAGAGCTTGAGCTTGAGCTTGGATGACCGGGCATTTCAGTAGTTGCTACTCCGTGATTGACAAGAACCAGCGAAATTGCACATAGGTCCAAACTAATGGGGCCTGGGATGAGCTATCCATTCTCTATGTACACGTTTTAAAGGTTCAGTCAATAACGGCGCCGGCCACGTCCTTACGGTCATCGGGGGAAGGGAAGGATTGTTAGTTCGACAACCGTTGTTACTAGAGACCGAATACACCTCTGCATCTCCACGGTTGTCACAGGAGGGACGTTTTGTTAGTAGGGAGGATAAATGAGATCTGGAATCACTTTGGAAAGTGACGCGATCTTTTAAAGCAATTATGCAATCCTACGAGCGCAACTGTGTAAGGGGCTTGGGATTAAACCTATGATTTTCTGCCCAGTATGCAAAAACGGCTACCATTAGGCCACCGAGCCCACATAAGACTAATACGACCTACAAAAAAAATCATATAAACACATACAGTGAAAGATGGAGAGTTTGCACCGCCGGGGAACTCTCCGTCGGAGTAGGCTGAATCCATCGCCGGAGGTTAGCTGAGTAGACCGCGAATACGCTGGGAGCTCACAAAATGGAGAGACGATCAGCGAACTATAAGCGCCAGTTAACTGAGGTTAAGTAAAGTGAGACGCGTAATGCACAGCAACCGAAGTAATGCGATAAGTGGTCCCGAAAGATAACGGTCCATACTCTTCCGTTTGTTCTGTAATGCATCAGTTGTGTGGTAGTTTGCCTTCTGAGAAGACTCTAACTATCGTTAGATATTTAGTAGCCGAAGAAATTGAGAGACACCCCGACTCTATAGTTCAATCATGTGGGTTACCCTGTGAATCACAGGAGGAGGTATCCCATTTTGTATTCCTACTACGTATAGGATGCCAGGACGGAGGCATGGCCACGCTTGTTGTGCTTTCTGCGCTGTTTGAAATAAGAATATACATATGTCCAAGTTCTTCACGGAATACTTTCCGTTACGATCCATCAGCCCACGTTCTCACTGTACCTGTGCTTGAAGATTTGGACAGCTTTCCACCTTTTGTTCCATAATCCGACTGATTAAAAAAGGGAAAACCGGCTTAAACGTCGTTTTACCGGTATTACCAAGCCGAAGGCGGCGGATTCGATTCCCGGTCCGGTTGAGGGAATCTTTCGGGTTGGAAGTTTTCTCGACTTCCCTGGGCATAGAGTATCATTGTGCTTGCCACACAATATACAAATTCATGCATTGGTATTGGAATCGAAAGCTTTCAATTAATAACTGTGAAGTGCATTTAGAACACTAAGTTGAGAGCACGCAATAAGCTAATATGCGCTAAGCAATAAGCGAAATGCGAAGAAGTCATTCAACGAGCAGGTCCCCACAGTTGACGCCGGAACGGAAAGAGAGCCAGTGAGGGTGACGAAACCGTCGAAACTAAATGCAATGCGCGCTCAAGTTTGCTACAATTTGAGGAGGAATACTTGCAAACCATTTGCATTTCATTGGTAACAAATGAAAGCAATCGAGCTGTCAAAATACCAGGTTGCCAAACATGCCATTTTTCACAAACAAGCAAAGCCATCATGATGTCATGGCACTGCTGACACAGCTGGGGCACAGTTGCGGCACACTGAGAAAAAGTTGCTGCATAATGTGTGTGTAGAGATTCGTTACGAAACTCACAGCAGCTCGTGGTTTCGTCCAGAACAGTTCGGGATATCACCCAAACCATGTGTGGAATAGTTCTACCATCAAGGTTACCGTTCGTTTATGGTATTTATTTATTAGGGACAGAATAAACAAAAAGTAAAAAAAGTTGGAGGGTGGTGTACAAGACACGACCGCATTGTTGACGTAGGACTTCGAAATTTTTGTTCGATTTTTTAGTTTGTTGTGTCGGATATTATTTTGGAATTTAGTGAATTTCATAATTCAACTCTTTTGTAGAAAATTGTGGTGGCCCTGAACTGTGATGGTTTCTTTATGGCAAGTATTTCTATAATCACTAGACCTCGTGTTTATTCGCGTTTATACATATCACTTGCACAGGAATCACTTTGGCACGGCATTTGTGACCAGCATACCTTCCGGTAGCATGAAACAGGTAAAAATTTGCCCAAATCTGCCAATAAATTTGTTTGTTTTGCATTTGCTTATAGCAAAATACTGAACTTTTCGGGAACATTCACGCCAAAGAACTCAAAAACACACTTTTTGTTACATGCCTCATGTATGTAACAAATTAAATTTTGATTGCCTTTCTTTTTTAACACGCCGGTAAAGTATATAAACTCTTCCCATCATGAGTAGTTTGCTATCAAGTAGCGACACTGGCTCCTCTCCTTGTGTACTCTCTGTACTTTAAGTATATACTCTCTGTACTCTGTATTATTTAACGATTCGGACGATTTCGAAGATGTCGCGCAGCAGGAGAATGCATACGATGGGGGTTTCTCATTTTATGAAAGTGAAACGGAATAAATTTAACCCGCCGATAAGACTACAAATAGAACATTCCATTCTAACTCTTTTCTGAAATGAACTTGGTGGCCGTTTTGTTACATTGGTGATAAGTTTTAACGTCCGAAACCGTGCGTCCCTGTTGCTTCAGAGTGTAGACGACATCCTTGGCCGTGACGGTTTTGCGCAAATCCAAGGAAAAATCCGGAGAGCATTTTGTGTGGTCGTTAGGGGCGTGTGGTTCTGAATTGGCAGCAAAATGTTCCGCAATTGCATCCTCTGTATTCGTACACGCCCGAAGATCGAAGGCGAATGTCACTTCGACTTGTTTCATCTAGGAGCCATTCTCTGATGACTGTGTTGGGGAAGCAGCATATGCATGTACGTAATTGGTGGATTTGATAGTTATTTCGAAGCTTTTGGACAGTGCTTGAAATGTACCACTTTTTCAATAGTTTCAATTTAAAAATCAACAGTCAAAAGCATTTTTATCGATGCGTGGAAATGTTTCTGATCCATTGGGGATATTTTTTTAGAAATTGGTCGAGGGGCAGCTAAGTTATTAACGTTCAAAATCTTTCATAATTTCATTTGTCGGTTTTCATAAAGTGTACCCCCATCGTCCCGAAAGACGTAGTCCTACGTCAAAAGATCATCATAGGGGTTGGGGGAGGGATGCAGGCTCATATCTCGGTCTTGCCAAGGGTCTTCCGAGATGGAAAATTTCTCGTTTTCCCCTGCGTTTTTCCTCAGATATTCTTGCCTGCCATTGGTTTCAATTGCGTATGGACTTCGATAGGAAAAACAAAGGATTTTATAGGGATGTAGATGGAAACCCCTGTAAGTGGCGTCGCGTAACCTCACTTTTTACCTGTGCACCAACTTTCAAAACCAGATTTAATGCCATAATCATACTCGAATCGGTTGAAAAACACACCTAATCTTCTAGTTAACTCGATATCTATCCATTGCAAGCAATATTTTGATAACTGTTTATGTTTTGAGAGTTAGTGCACAGGTTAAGGCGACGCCACTGCCTGTACTGCCTTTACAGCTGGGGAATGTCGATAAGTAACCTCAAATATACCATCAGATCTGGGCCCATGTACGGTTGCCTTAGCGCAATAGTATAGGATTTTTAGGAACAGATCAATGCAATTACATTCCAATCCGTGAGTCCGATATCAAGCATAATTTTGCAGAAGCATATCTGTAATCTGTATTCGGTTGAACTAGTTTGTCTCAAGAGGCCCCGATGCGATGGGTGGCCTACCGATCAGTTCTTGTAAGGCCAGTAAGGCCTTCCCTAATAAAAACATACCATAATAAAATAAAATAATCTTTTACGGAATTTCCAAGAAAATTCTAATGGATTTCTGAGGAGAATTTCAAAGGATTTCTGAAGAGACTTCCGAAAGATTTCTGAATAAAATTCCGAATCATTTCTGAAGTGAGTTTTGACTAGAAAATTGGAAAAAAAATAGATTTAAATAGCAAATTCAATGAGTAATTTCAAAGGGCTCGAATACTCAGGATAGTTTGAAAATAATTCTACGGAGGATTCCGTGAAAATTCTTATAATAGTTTCAAAATAATACTGTCATTTTTATTTGAAACCGTTATAAATCAAATCCTGGAACTTGAGTATATTTTTATTAAATGCTTTATTAATGAAATTTTTAGTTCATCTCAAACTTTGTTTGCGCTTTAAAATCTTAAAAAAAAACCTCTAGAAATCTTGAACTTGAGACAAAGATCTTGGAGCAAAAAAATATTTTAACGCGCCGTAATGTACTGATGGAAATCCTAAAACAAAACAAAATAGGAAAATTACTAAAATTTTGAGGGTTTGACATTTGTTTAGAGTTTTAGAATGATTATTTTTATTTGTGACTTATAAAAATCTATCTTAGATTCAAAGGTGTTCTGAGGGTAGTTTTGCGTAAGCTCAAATAAAATTTTGTACATAATTTCAAATGCTTAAAATGATTAAGAGCTAAATAAGCATATTTTTGCTGGAATAAGCTCAGCATTCCCGCTGTTCCGGCTACTTTTCAGCTTCCCGGTTCGTTGACCACCCTGCGTTAAGAGTTTTTCGTATATTTGAATTATATAAAATCAAGTATACTTTGTTATAATTGTTTAATAACAAACCTTCAACAAATATGCTAAAACTCAGTTGAATGAAAAAATAAAACACAATTTCAGTTAAATATAACTAGACGTTTCATGCGATAACCGCAACTACGAATGCCGTATGGCGGCGATAAAAACCAGTAAAAAGCCATGAAACTAGTTTATGCTTCAATTACGTTATCTGACAGGAATGGTTACCTACGTCGTGTGTTTAGCATTTGTCGTCAAGTTTGGACGAGCATCGTGTCTAACATTTTAAACGTGACTTTTTATTTACAAGCAAAATTGTTAACAATTATTCGGTGAGCCTAATCTTTCGGTTGAAACACGTAATTGCTAAAACCCCCGTCCACGTTGCCAGCATTTCTTAATTATTAAAAATGCCCTATCACACGCAAAGCGTGTTGTCGCCTCAGCTGATAAGATAAACCACGTCATTTCTTTGATTGCAGTTATTCGCTTGTTCACAAACACACGTACACACGCGCATCAATAACAGACATTCGCATCTAATTACATTACAACAGTTGTTGTTGGTTGACATAACTGCACTTACCTCTTTGACTTTGTTGCGCTTCTCGCGCACCGCCGGGTCCGGATCTTCCCCAACGGACGAGTTGAACGTGTGGAATCCTCCGCTGCCGGCCGTCGAGCCCTTCGACGACGAAGGCCCGCCCTTTAGGTCCGGTTCGTCGAGCATTTGGGGTGGTGCTACCACCCCGGCAGGACCTCCGGCCATCGGACCTGCTGCCGCCACCCCCGAATCGAGGACATTGTCAAACTCTGGTCCACTGGTGTGACCGACGTCCAGATCCGGCTTCTCCAATATGTCGTCCGGCATTTCCTTCTGAATCTTCTCCTGCAGCTTTTCGCGATCGTTCAGCTTGTGTGGATCTTCGTCGCCCTCCAGCAGGCCGTGGGCCGGCGGTGGCGGAGGAATGAAAATTTCCGGCCCCGCCTTCTGGAACTGTTTGTACACTTTCAGTACCCGGTCGGCACCGAAGTTGTCCGGCAGAAAGAAGAAACCGCCGAAACAAACGAAACCGAACGTGAGCAGCACCAGCAGGATGAGGCACTTCTCGCTGGAGCGGAACGAACGGCGCACGGCAAGCAGCGGATTCGGCGGTTGGCTGGTGCCGCCTATTCGCTGGTACGTGGGCAACATGATTCACTTTATTTTACTTTACTTTTTGGGGGTCAGTCTTTTTTTTTTTTTGGATCACTTTCAGCGTTTAGTGCCGTTGTTGTTTGCTGTTGCGGTGAATTGCTTTTACTGATGAGGCTGTCGGATGAAGAGATAAGCGATCACTTTCGATTTCACTTCCGTGTCTGTGTGTGTATGTGTGTGGCGGCCCCGAGTTGCGTTGCTTTGGGGATTGTTGCATGTGCGAGTTACGGCTAATTGTGTTTGTTTTTTGGGAAGCTAATGATGACGATTGTTAGGTTTATTGGAAATGACCCTGAACTCCGTCTCGGTACCACGATCGACGGCAGTGCTGTAATATTTGAACCATCTTGAGAATCTCTTATTGCACCCAACTGTGCCAAAATCATAAGAGCAATGAATTTTACACGTTCGTTTTAGAATTCTTTACTTTCAGTATCACCGGAGATCCTACAAAGTTTTCCCCTCTGCGGAAAGCCTTGAATTTGTTTCTGGAAAATCTTGAAGCCTTCTTCCAGAAGCTCCTTATACTAGAAATTCATAAATTTCCTTCTGAATATTTCCAAACTTCCCCCTGGAAGTTCCCCGTAACACTTCCTGGAAGTCCCAAAAACTTCCACCTGGAAGTTCTCCAAACATCCTGCGGAAACTTCCCTCTAGATGTTCCATAAGGATAGCATAGAACAAGAAACAGTTATACATATACAGGATTTCCTCCTGCAAAGATGAAGAGCTTTCTTCTGGAAAACCATCAAACTTCCTTCTGATAGTTCACCGAAGTTCTTCTGGAAGTTCATTGAACATCTTTCTGGAAGATCTTCGATATTTTTCTATCTCTTCAAAAGTACCCCGTCCGTTTCTGGATATCTCCGAACTTCTCTCAGGAAAATGTTCTGTATTTCTTCTAGAAATTTACGCTATCCTTCAGAATATCTCAAACTACCCCGAAATACATCTTAGAAGATCCCAAAATTTCCATACGAAAGTTCATCGTACATCTTTCTAGAAGCTGTCCAAATTTTCCTCTCAAAATGGATCGAACAACCATCTGGAAGTACCTGGAACTTTTTTCTGGAAGTCTCCAAAATTCCCTTCTGGAACTTCTTTACGTATATCTCCAAAGCAGGAACATCCTGCTGAAAGTAACCCGAACCGAGCACATACTACCTAGTGAAAGACACAGACTACCGTATAGAACCTTCTTCCCCAAGTACCTCCAACATCATTCTGGAAACACTTCGAACTTACTTCTGGTCGTACCCAAAACTTTTTTCTGGACAAATCACCACATTTTCTTCAGTATATTCCTTAAGCTTTCTTCAAAAAGCTTCTCGAAATACCTCTTGGAATATTCTAGAATGTCTATCTAGAAGCACCTAGAAGTGTATCGTACATCCTTCTGGAAGATCGCCGGAAGTAGCTCGAACAGCCTTCTGGAAGTATCTGACACTTTCTTCTGAAAGAGACTCACACGTCTTTCTGGATACCCTCGAAGCAGGAACTTCCAACTGGACCCAACCGAAGTTTCTTCGCGATTAAATACTGAAGAATTATAGTACTTCTTTCAGCTAGATAAGCAACCTTTCTTCAGGGATTGAAAAATAGTCGCATCTAAATATAAGCCTTGCATCCTTCTCAGCCTCCCTTAATTCAATCGATAAACGCGCAGCTATAATTCTAATAAAAATAACCATAAGAAAGCGCTTAGCGACGTGTTCGGGGTATCATCCCAACCATATGTGGAATAGTTCTACCATTTGGGTAATCGTTCTTTTATAGTATTTGTTTATTAGGGAAAGCAAGACCATGCTGAAGGTGGCTGGGTTCGATTCTCGGTTCGGTTTACGAATTTTTCGAGTTGACAAGTCAAGAACAACATGTGAAAAGGGCATCTGGCAAGTTCTTCTGAAAGAGACTCAAACGTCTTTCTGGATACCCTCAAAGCTATGGTGATCCATGTCGGTTTGTCGGTGCTAGAAGTGCATCGCACATCCTTTTTAGAAGATCGCCGGAAGTAGCTCGAACAGCCTATCCCGCACTTTCTTCTGAAAGAGACTCAAACGTCTTTCTGGATACCCTCGAAGCAGGAAGTTCCAACTGGACCCAACTGAAGTTTCTTCGCGATTAAATATTAAAGAATCACAGTACTTCTTTCAGCTAGATACGCAACCTTTCTTCAGGAATTGAAAAATCGTCGCATCTAAATATAAGCCTTGCATCCTTCTGGGTCTCCCTTAATTCAATCGGTAAAGGCGCAGCTATAACCCTAATCTTCTTTCCTTTATTTAACGTCGGTCTCTGTTCCGCAATCTAGTGCCAATCACCGACGGACATCGATTGCCATCCATTGACGGCAATCGAATGTGCAGGAAGGCAGCTTCCACACCTGCGTAGGATATCGCACCCATTCACAACACACATGGGCCTGGACCAACGGTTTTACTTCCCTTCCGAAGGAAGACGTGACCAGAGATTTTTATGCCTCAGAAAAATCCCACCGACCTCGGCTGGGATTGAACCCAGACCCATCGGGGTGTTAGAAAGCAGTCACGCTTACCACTACACCACCGGCGCCGGCAGCTATAACCCTAATAAAAATAACCATAAGAAAGTGCTTAACGACGTGTTCGGGGTATCATCCCAACCATCTGTGGAATAGTTCTACCATTTGGGTTATCGTTCGTTTATAGTATTTGTTTATTAGAGAAAGCAAGACCATGTTGAAGGTGGCTGGGTTCGATTCTCGGTCCGGTTTACGAATTTTTCAAGTTGACAAGTTTCTCGAACATCCTGGTCATAGAGTATGATTGTGACAATATACTAATGCAAAAACGAAACAAGCTTAGAACGCTCTCAATTAACAACTGTGGAAGTGCTCGTGTCTGCTGTTGTTCAACATCGCGTTAGAAGGTGTGATCAGAAGAGCTGGGATAGACACGAGTGGCATGATATTCAGGAAGTCCATCCAGCTCCTTGGCTTCGCCGATGACATTGACATTATGGCACGGAACTTTGAGATGATGGCGGAAACGTATATCAGACTGAAGGCTGAAGCTAGACGGATTGGACTTGCCATCAACGCATCAAAGACAAAATACATGAAAGGAAGAGGTTCTAGGGAAGACAATGTTAGCCTCCCACCCCGAGTTCAGATTGACGGTGACGAAATCGAGGTGGTCGATGAGTTCGTGTATTTGGGCTCACTGGTGACCGCCGAAAATGATACCAGCAGAGAAATTCAACGACGCATTATGGCAAGGAATCGTGCCTACTTTGGACTCCGGAGGACGCTCCGCTCGAATAAAATTCGCCGCCGCACGAAGTTGACTGTCTACAAGACGCTGATTAGACCGGTGGACGGCCACGAGACCTGGACTATGCTCGTGGAGGACCAACGCGCCCTTGGTGTTTTCGAACGGAAGGTGTTGCGTACCATCTACGGTGGAGTGCAGATGGATGACGGAACGTGGAGGAGGCGAATGAACCACGAATTGCACCAGCTGCTGGGAGAACCATCCATCGTCCACATTGCAAAAATTGGGCGACTACGGTGGGCTGGGCACGTCGTAAGAATGCCGCACGACGACCCAGTGAAAATGGTTCTAGAAAGCGACCCAACAGGAACAAGAAGAAGAGGCGCGCAGCGGGCAAGGTGGATCGACCAAGTAGAAGGTGACCTGCGAACCCTTCGCCGACTACGAGGCTGGCGAACTGTGGCCATGGATCGAGTAGAGTGGAGACGACTTCTTCGGACAGCAGAGGACAACAAGGCCTTAGCCTGATTGGTAAGGTAAGGCAAGGAAGTGCTCAAAGAACACTAATTTGAGAGTCGGCGTAAAGTTCTGGAAAATAATTGACCAGGAAGAACCCACAACATCCTTCTGGAAATACCCCGAGCTTTCTTCTGGAAGTACACTACCCGCCATAAGTATGGACTCGCATAGAAGAGTATTGCAACACTCATTTCCATATTGCATCAGCCTCCAACAAGTTTGGCATCATCAAAACAAAATTCGAAAAAGCTGAAAAACGTGCTGAATGTGCATGGGGAAGGAAGCGCCTTTGGATCTTGAAAAAATACTGACTCACTTTTGAAAATTTCGAAATCACTCCGAAAAGTACTGATTCCCTTCAGAAATGATCGGAATCACTTAAGAAAAGTTCGCAATCACTTCAGAAAATACTAGATCAGTATAGACATATTCTGATTCACTTCGGAAAGAACTGAATCTAAGGGGCTGACACGCTGCCATCTTTTCGTAGGCAGCATGAAAAAGTGAAAACAAAGCAATCAAAGCTAGGCGCTAGCGTGGGCCCGCGGTTATGCTGGCTGTGACTACTTGTTATTAGATACACCTGACTGAAACACTTCATAACAAATCGTAATCACGTCTAAAAGAACTAAATCATACCAGATATGCCCGGAATCACTTCGGAAAGTGCTGAATCACTTCGATGAGTACTGAATAATTTCAAAGAAATCACTTCAAAAAAGTTCTAAATCACTTCGGAGAGTGCTGAACTTTAAAAAAAAATTGAAATCACTTCAGAAACGATCGAAATAACTTCGAAAAGCACACTTTGAAGCACTTCAGCAATGTTCTAAATAACATCGGAAAGTACTGAAAGTACTTCAGAAAGGTTCTAAATCTCTAAAGTACTAGATTGCTTTAGAAATATTCGGAGTCATTTTGGAATGTACTGAATCACTTCGAAAATGTCCTGAAACTCTTCTAAATGATTTAAATTCGAATTCACTTCTAAAAGAACCGAACCAACCCAGACATATTCGGAATCAATTCTTTAAGTACTGATTCAATAAAAGTTCTAAATCACTTCGGAAAGTACTGATTTACTTTTGAAAAAATCGGAAAGTACTGAACCACTTCAGAAATGAACGAAATCGAAGTGATTTCTAGTAGTGATTCAGTACTTTCTGAAGTGATTATAAATTTTTCTGAAGCGATTCAGTACTTCTAAAGTAGTTGTGGATGTGATTATAAACTTTGTGGAATGATTCAGTACGTTCCGGACTGATTCTAAACTTTTCTGAAGTGATTTAGTACTTATTGAAGTGATTCTGTACTTACAGAAATGATTCAGTTGGGGGGACCCCA